TGCCACTGCCTTTGTCCTCAAAYTCCCCCATCATTTCTGGTCTGGCACAATACACAATTGCCCTGGTAGACTCGTGATCTGTGACTGGTTTATTGGGTTGCTGAGTCCAAATACATCTCTTGATGCTCTGACCACATAGCTATTTCTAAAAGCAGCCTACATTGACCATCAGGGCTTTAAAAGTCTCACAGCTGGGCACCAAATTTTGCTTGAAAATCTCTTACTTGCTGCCRTGCTTCTGGCTTCCTTGAAGACACCTCCAGGCATGCCTATGTCTTCCTCTCCTGCTCCTTCTAATTAACTCCAGATTTTCTTAYCTTGCAGACTTTCTCTGCTTGTATATTCTCAATTGCTTATTGTGCTACATAACTCAGTTTTGATGGTACACCTGGGAATGTTGTGTTGTTCTACTCAGGATATTCTTTCAGGGCTTTTTTTCCCTAGAATGTCTGGTAATGCTTTCTGGCCTCTGTTGGATTTTATGTGAAGACCAGCACCACTGTAATTGATGTGTTGAGAGCAGAGAAGAGGCAGATATGATTGTCCCCTCCGTACACCAATTATATTGCAACCAGTATTTCCCATTCCCAAACTCACTGTTTTTCTCTRAATTCTTCTCTGAAGTAAAAGACTTTCTGCTTTTAGGAACAGAGCATTTCGCAGGTACCACGGGACAGAATGAGACACACAATAAATATTCCTGAAATTATGCTCTTTCATGGACGCTAATTTCAGTAATAAAGACTTTACATGTTTTTATTTTAAGCTTTTTATGAACTCTACTTGAAAGTGACAGCTGAGCTGGTTGATGATCACATCTCAGGATGCAAGAGCAATGTTCAGCATCAGTGTTGAGACAAATGTAGATGCACAGAGCAATGAGTTGTAGGCATTTCCAGCCTCTCCAGTAAATCCACAACTTATTTTTTCAGTACAGTTACTATTTCACATTGAAGCTGGGGGGATGTTACAACTTTAGATACTTTAAAAGGGAAAAAGATCTTAAGGACTTGATTGAGAAATTCTGCTCTAAGTCAAACGTATTCTAGAGGTCTCATCCTTGCCTTCTCACCATGTGTTTGTAAGGGAAAGCAGAATCAGGCCCAGCCCAAGATTAACCTGGAAAATTACCCTACTGCATATATTCACATAAATAGGAAAAGGAAATAAACTATTGACTTTCCAACAGGGAGCTCAGTTAGACCTCTGTTATACAAAAGATGCACAGAGAGCTTTTTTACTGTGCACCTCTCCAAAATTATTTCTTCCTGTTCATAATGATTTTGGATCATCTATGTTGTTCTTCTGAGATTCTTCAATTAATTGTCTTCCTTAAATTTTATAATGTTGCTTAGATTCAAATGAGTCACCCCCTTAGAGACAAAGCTATGATTCCTTTTTCCTCACCTAATTCCTCTACCATCAATCATTGGTAACTGCCTTGCAGATCATGAAAAATTTCCACCTTTTGGGGTAACACTGCAAGCCTTCCTCTCAGCAGATGAAACCCTTCTTTTTGCATATGAACATATTATATGTGTAGTAAGTTCAATCTTTTCCTTAAAAAAAAAAAAAAAAAAAAAAAAAAAAAATCCAGGGGAAAGGGAGAAAAAGCAGGAGAGTTTTCATACTCTAGGTCAACCCCTAGTAAGGCCAAAGAGCTATGCTGAGTAACTCTTCTGGAATACACCTTCCCTCACCTTGAGCAGGTGAGCCCCAGCCTGGTCAGGATCAGAAGCCTCARCAGCAGGGGAGGTGACAGAAAGGCTGGCACAGTGTCCTTGTGCTGTCCATCAAGGTCTATATGTACATGATGATCAGAGAACAGCAAAGCAAAAGAAAGCAAAATGGTAACACAACCCTGCTCCACCCTCCTGATGAGGAGACTCCAGCAGAAAACCAGTCCTAGGGGAGTTTTCCAAAACCTTCCAAAAGTGCAGAGAAGTGAGAAGGCTCATTCTCCAGCAGAAATGATTGAATTTTCTAATTCTCATTCTCCAGCAGAAATRATTGAATTTTCTAATTCTCAGCACACTTTTGAACTGGAAAAGTTGCCACATGAAGCAATTTGATTGATCATCCTAAACCCCAGGAATTTTACAGCATAACGGGTGATATGAAAATCAAGTTTTCTGRAGCTGCTGCACATAGAATCAGCCTYGTGGGGCTTTTATTAATAGAGGGAGGAGAGAGAGATTGAGCAGATTTTTYATTGCCTTTTTATTGCACTCTTTCAATGAGCAATGCATATCTGTATGTATAAAATACATTAATGTATGTTTCTGACTGCTTTTCAAATATATTTTCCTGYTGAGAAATGTTGTGTTAAATTACCAGCTTTCTTCTGGAAGATTCAGGGGGCAGGTCTCAGCCACACCTTTCTTTACTCTTCCGTTTTTAGAGCATTCCAAGGCATCCTCTTGGTACATATGTGCCATGCCTAACACAAGGGATCTCCCAGCACTGGCAGGTGTTCTAGTTATTCTTCTAATTATTTTTTTTTATTATTATTATTTTTAAATGAAGCATTTTATATGAGGTTTTAACAGAGATTGCATCTTCCACCCACTTCTCAAGCAGTTGCACCACCTCTTTTATTCACATAACATTTTATTCGCATTCATATTCACGTTCTAAAATCTCAGTTCCAGCAGCTAATCTGCCCTAACACTGTTTAGAGTTGGGGTTGATTTTTTTTTGTTTGGTTTGTTCGTTTGTTTGGATTTTTTTCTTCCTCAAACTGTTAGCTAACTCTTGCAGTTTTCTGGGGTTTGAGGGTTTGAGGGTTTGGGTTGTTTTTTTTTTCTTTTTTTGGTTGAGGTTTGGAGTTTTTTGGTTGATTGGCTGGTTTGGGGTTTGCCGRTGTGCTTGTTTAGTTCTGTTGTGGACTCTTTTATTCCTTGAAGTGGCACATCAACAGGTTAGCCCTACAGTGGCTTGTAGCAATCTTTTGCTGTAGTAAGGAGCAATTTATAACTGCAAACTCTATTTAAGTTTTGAGCTCTAAAAGAAATGTCAGTAATATTCAGTGTKATCAGCATTGATTGCTCTGCTGGGAATCCCGTTGTGTCCTGAACTTGGTTTCCTTCACAGAAAGCCCCTTTACCATTAGCACTGCTATCCTGTGTAGCAACAGGAAAATACTTTAGACCAATACTCTCAGAACCACCACTTATATCCAGATGGGAAACGAATATTTTGGGATAGTTAATTACTTCATCCAGCTACGCGGGTGTTTGAGGTGTTCGTTGTTCATTAATTCCTAATGATCGCAGCTTTGGGGTCTGCCAGCAGCAAGTTGTGAAACCTGACTGCGTGCTAAGTACTTTTGCATTCAGAACTACTCTTTCCTTTCTTTCTATAGAAAAAAAAAAACAAACCCTTCCCCCCGCCCCTTTTTTGTGGGTTCAAATTTTCCTTCAGTTGCTTCTGTTACTCCATCAACAATTTGGAGGGGGGAATGATAAAACAGAGAGAAGACTGAAAATGGTTTGATAAATGTGATGAAAAGTAGATTAATTGCCGATTAACGATTTTTTATATAGTTATTTTTCACCACGGACACGTCCGAGGCTTCAGTCATGTGGAAGGACAGTGTCTTTAAATGAAGTTTRGTTCAATGTTAAAGAACTAAAGAAAGGGACCTTAGTGTATATCTGTTGCATCTGATTAAACTTCCTTTGGTAGGGATTTCGAAAAAGGTGGATTTGMCTCTGTTACTATTGATTAATCAGGTGACAGTAGTCAAGTAAGGGCTTATCGACTTGGGAAATACTAGAAAAAACAACCAAAGGAAGATTCCGATATAGATCATCAGTTATGAAATACAGACAAACAGGAAACATAGATCATCACCCGAGGAAATAAGGACATAATCACTTCTATGTGTCTCGAAGCGTTTTTAGCCACGGAGCAACTCGCAGAYTCAGAGGATTTAAATTTCTTTAACTATCATTATAAATTCGGAACAGAAAAGAAGCGTAGGTCCTCTTTCCCGGCAGTTCGGGGACACCTGAGCTATGGAGTGCACCCGGCAGCTCCCCTTGAGCATGTCCACTTGGTTTCACCACCCTTGCACAGCCTCGATTATTATTTTTTTTTTTTTTTCCAGAGCAAGGGCACCCTGTGAGACTCCTCTTGCTACTTGACACTAATTCGAAACGGATTAAAAAGCGAGAGGAGAGGTCAAACAACACTCCTAGATCACCGCAACGGCGAGAAAACTTCAGACAGCCGCGGAAGCCGCTTTCCCGAGCTCGGCTGGCGCCSGGAGCGGCTCCCGGCTGCAGGACACCCGCGGCAGCGGCACCTCCCCGGCTGGAAGCGAACCCCGGCAGCGGCCCCGAACCGCGGGATTTGTGTGCGCCGGGGTCCCSGCGCTGGGCTGGGGGATCCTTTAGAATCTGCATCAATTGCCCACGGAAAGACAAATGAGAAAAGGATGGGAAAAGGAAAGAAAAGTTCTTCTTATCTAGCTGGAACAATTATCATGCTTTTTTCCCCCCTGCGAAACTCGATAAATTGTCATTCGCGCATGCAAGCGTAAACTTCGTAATGCCATGATTGTGGTTTTGCTCTTTATTTCTAAAATAACCATCAGTGCCCTCTAGGAAATATCTTTCCTTTGATACTGTCTAGTAGTGACTATTGAAAAGGCAGGCGTTTCAGCTTTCTGAAAAGATTTATTTCCAACCTTGGGATATAAAGTGTGTGAACTTAGAAACCAAAGGACGACAAAAGCGTTTGCATATATATATATGTATGTATATATATATATATATAAACCAAAAAAAACCCAGCATTAAAAAACCCACTTCTTTACTCTAGGATAGCAGGTAAAACCGTCCCACGAGATTTCGGGGGGCGGGATTAGCAAAAGAGACWGCTTGTCTTGCTCTGTAAAAACAGCACACAAGCCCCAGTGTGAGAACCGGTTAGCACAAACAGTGTAAGAGAGAGCTT